AAGTCTTTTTTGAATGCTGATTGAAAATCCAAAATACAATTATTTTTAGCCGTTCTTTATGTTTTACGATTTTTCATTCGTTAAAGGACCATCAAAATGGTACATTCTCAACCTTCGTTTCTTAAGTCTATTTTGTTAGTGCCAACCCATCCATTTATTCCCATCAAGGGCAGTAAAGTCTCTGCATTTGAGATGCGCTGGTCTTTTTTCTTCTCTTTCAATGCTAAAAAACAAGATCGATGAACTTGAACTTTTGTAATTCGGTTGGTTTTGAGTAGGGAACAGTAATTCTTCTAAGATTATTGTTCTTCGCTCGCCTTTTTCGTTTGTTTATCTAAGACTGTGCCTAACAACGTCTTATTGTTGATTTTATCTCTACGAATCCAACTTATTGGTCTTTTCTTTGTGCGAGAAAAGAGTGCAGGAACTTGATGTTATCTTATAGAAAAGAAGCTCTCGACATGTGTTTGAAAGGTCATTGCCTTGCACGCTTTTTCCAAATCAACGCTAGTTTCTTTCGCTCAGTCATCTGTCAACACTATTCATCGAGGGACTTCTTTGTTTTTCTAGAGATGAAAAAACCAAAGGATGGCGACAAATGGGTGATTGAGACGACAAAGTTGACGATCTACGATGTGAAGAAGGGCATTCATGGTAAAGGAGACAATGCTGTGTATCAGTGCAAAGCTGAGAACAAACATGGCTATGTGTGGACGAATTTCTACCTCAACCTGCTCGGTAGGGGTGTTTTATGTCTTTTTTTGTGGATTGTGAAATTATGTATGGATGTTTCAGCATTCAAACCTCAACTACTTACCGATGCTGGTGAAGTTGAAGCTGTAGCGGGACAATCGGTAACCCTTGAATGCAAATTCTTCGCTAGTCCCAATGCTGTGATAACGTGGGCAAGCCCATTGCTCCAAGGCATTGCTCATAACGTCATTCCTGCAAATCCACATGGTGTTGGGAAATTAGTCATACCAAGTAGGTTCCTATTTTTTGTTAAGGCTTTTTTTGGTATAGCTTA